TAATGTCTGTTGCTTTGAACATAGTAAAATATTTTTCAGGGCTAATTTTGAGAAACTGTGTGTTTTGCTCTGTAACACATTCATATATTCAGTTTCTTTTGCCTAATTTATACTATATCTAATTCTGTACCAAGCATCATTATAGCCCCTGGAAACAGCATCCCATTCTCTCTCCACAGCACCAGATGATAGCTAGCAGATGCCACTCTCCTACACCAGGCTCCAACTGTATCATATTGTAACATAAAAACTCTTTTGGACAGTGGATATATAGGATAGCGCAGATCACTAATTATGACATAATACTTAAGATTGTGGAAATACCACCTTCAGAAACTACTAAAATGCAACTGTACAAGGACACTATAATAAATGACAGCAATATTTTGGAATGGATTTGGGACAAAAAGAGATTGTAATTTTAATTTGTAGGCTGTTTCCAATGATTTATTTTTATTTTACTTGGCACTAATACAAAAGGACAGATTTTCTGTTATAATTACAGAAATACTAAGATGAAATACAAACCAGTCCCTCTAAATAGCAAACCCATAGGTGTTATGAAATGTATCTGCAATGTTGATTTAAAAGCCAAGAAGTGGTGTAGTGTCTCTTCCTTCTCAGGGGCAGGAAGCAAAATCCTGCCTTACTCAGAAAAATCACATATTAAAATTAACCAGGTCATAGAAAGTTGCTAATTACACTTGATTAACTGCTGCTAATGTGAACTACTAGCATATCCATTTTCTTCTCTTCAGACAGAAAACCACTAATTGCAGGGAACTTGACAGACAAGTTTTAACATTACGTAGGACACAGCATTCACTTCTGTATTTCGCAGAAGAACCGCACGCAGCACCTGCCTTCAAAAACACCCTCATGAACATGGCACATATGATGATGACGCACACAAAGCACATACGATGCTCTGTTTGCACCTGGTTAAGCACAATTTTTCCTACACACCTAAAGAATTTATATTGTTATTCAAACAAATGTAATCTAATTCATTGTGGTTTGAAAGGGGTTCTCTAGGCCTAACACCCATTGCCTTTGCAAATGAGAGCATTTGGCCAAGGTTTCACACAATTTTACTTTATCCTCCCAAATATGCGTCCTACGCCTCTGAATATCCATGTGCAGACATAGCACAAATAGCTAAAGTAGGTGGAAAACCAGTTGCACCACTTAGAAAAACAAAAGACAAAAGTCCAACACAGTCCTTGCAGTTCATAATCAGCTTTTTGTGAACTTCAAAACACCTAAGAAACACAGTTTGTGGGCAGATAAAGTTTCACGATCAGGGTCAGGCTTTTTTTTTTTTTAGTACTGACCTCCACACTGCTGATTCTTTGTGATGACAAACAACCCTTTGCTTTGGCTGAGGTGCTCAGTATAATTTTGAAGGGAAGTTAGATGATGTTTTTTTTCCTACAAGAAAGGGATGCAGCAAGCATTTTATTTATAGGTTCTCAGACTAACACCATCATTATTTTACAAAAACTTCTGTATATATAGTAACCTTGAATCATTAAAAAAACCACACACAAAACCAAACAAAACACCCTCCAAAAAACCCCAAATAAGCTTATTAAAAAAAAAAAAAATTGTTTCTTAAAATAATTTGCTCTACATCAGTGCAAGTAAGACAGGAACAAAACCACATTTCTGAGCATGTATCCAAAAAACAGAAGCTCTGAATTATTCCCAAATGTCAATTCTTTTCAGAGGTTTTTCATTCTGTTTTCTGTTTGGGCGTAGCATTTCAATGACGTTGTAAATTTATCAGCTGTAGGACAGAAAAAGCAGTGTTTTTGGCAGGATTCAAATGACAGCTTGGACAAGAAGCCTGCAACTAAGAGGAAGTAGGAAGATTGCTTGATTTTCTGCTATATGGGCTGGGTTTAAATGTCCATGTTTTATAAGATGGCAGATAATTGCCTTGAAGGGGTCTTCTTGAGAGAGCAACAACTAACTGATGAATAACATGAGAAGGACACCTCCTTCAGTAGCAGCAGATACACCTGACCTTTATGAATGTTTAACAGCTGAAGCAGAACATAGAAGAATGTAACTTCTTCCATCTGAATCCTAAAATAAACAAGCAGTTTTTAAAAGTTTTGAAAGGAAGTGTATAGAAAAAAATGGATTCACTGGCTTCAGGCTGTGAATTCTAACGCTGTAGGTCCCGTAAGTTCTGATTAAAGCACAAAAGTCATCAGAGTGGGGCCAGTTTTCAGACACACTAGAAAGGCTGAACAACATCTCACAAGTTTTTTCTGTCAGTCTAGGTTTTCAGGCAGCCACCCTCAGAAAGCTTTGCATAAGACTGAGACAACAAACTTTGCTAGGCATGGAAAAGGCAAGGAAACCAGCGACAAGAAAGGAGAACTTTGTTGATTACGGTTCCTTTATTAATGGTATAGTGCAGCAACATCAACTGAAATAAATACAGTTATTTGTACATTATAAAAAATATAACCCTTCATAAAGTTCATCTGTGGTAGGGATCATGTGTTGAGCTTAAACAGTTGATATATAACATTCTCTTAAATAGCGTGGACAGGTAAACTCAGCCAAATGAACGTAATAACATCTTCTCTCATTTGAGGACAAACACACAAAGAGCAGTTTTAGTTCAGTGTATCCATACATCACACCTCAGCTAAGATTTGAGAGCAAACTAACAGTTTTTCAAGTTTTCCCTTTCCCACTGTTCTCTATCGATAGCACAGTGGTTCTATAACCAAATAGTGAATTGAATTTTCAATAGTAGCATTTATCAGCAGATACAGAAAAGTACTCAGACAATCAGCTTAAGGCACCAGAGTTTCCACAAGAGACACATGAAATTACTGGCAAAAAACAATTTTGAAGAAGGCTATTAGTGTTTAGCTACAGTACTATGATGAACAACAATCTATTCTTTAGAGATATTCTTGACAATATATTCAGTTAACAAGTGTGGCTTTTGTTTATTCTTTAAAAATGTAGTAAAATATAAGATTTTGACATTATTACAATCTCAATAATAACTCAGATCTTTGCAAAAAAAATTCTCTCATCATCCCTCCATTTTAAAATGTAAAAAAATCCAATTGTCACTCTTGCAAGACAATTTTTCTACAGACCTTTTTGAAATACAGTTTCCAACAAGTTATATAGTAAAAGCCCACTCAATTATTTTATTCTCCTTCAAAAGAAAGTACATCTAACTGCTGATAACTGTGCCTTGTCCCCCACCTTCCCCCCCTCCAATTCTGTATTCTGTCTCTGCTATCAACAGCATTGGTGAACAATTCATTTAAATAAAATCAAGTTTCTCCTGAAGTCCTACTGAGCTAACACAAGTCTCTGATTTACTCAAGACCTCTTCCCTAATAGTGTCCCATGACACTGGCCGAAAGCTAAAACAATATGAAGTGGAACTAACATCCTGACAGCACCTGCCACAAAGACCCAAACAACTACCTTGTTAAAACTCTCTTAAACCCTACAGTGAAAAGTAGGATTTGAATAGGACAGGACCAGGAGTAAATTCATAAAATTGCACTACAGAAATTGTGCGTCCCAAATTGTACATGGCAGTTCAGACACAGAACTACAGTTGACACATATCCCCAGAATAATTATGAATTTCAGAAAATGTTCCAGCCACATCACAAACTGACATCAAAAGATTATGAACATGACAAAGTCACTGCAGCTTACCTAGTTCCACTCACTGAGTAGGGGATAGAAACATTCATCAGAGGAAAAAAGGAGTAATTTGAAATTATACATTACATATTTTAAGAAGTATTTTCCACATTACTATCAATTCTGACAATACTCCCTACATGTACCTATCCCTGTATTTCAGAGTAGAACTGGCTGCAGTTACTTGCAATAAATAACCAATACCCACTACAGTGTTGATACACTGTTCTGTGAATCCCCAAAGTCTTTCATTTGTGTATTGATGCACTTGGTCAGCCAAAACCTTGGCTCTTATCTGCACTTGGTGTAGAGAGCTGATGAGATTTTTCTGTGCCTTACAGTAACATCAGTCTTGAAGTTAGCCATTTGACTGTCAGTGTAGTGACTAAACCAAGGTTCTCTCCATTCTCCTATGACAAAAACCAGCAGCACATAAAATGCAAAGTTGCCTTTCATTACCTCTTTTGTCTTAAGGCCCAATAAGCAGAAATCTTGCTATACTGTTTCTGCATCTTTTGTGCCTGAACCTTTAAAGTTTATCAACTTTCACACTACAATTCATTTCCTGAATTTCAGTGAAACGCTTCCTCAGAATGAAACTACCCAGGTCATGTGTTGTCATATGTTCAGTCAACTATGAAGAAGTATATCTCAGATTCCAGTAACTCAACGAGCAACAGTGATTTCGTCCATTTCAAATAAACTTACAATAAATAATTTCAATTAAAATAACAGCTTCAGCCATGACAGCTGTATAGCATCTAAAAAAAATAAGAACCATAGAGAATTAATCTTGCTATTGTTACCTAATCATTGGCTTCTTGCACCACAGAAAATTTCTGACTCAATCAACAGCAAAATTTTCTAAGCCACTAGCTAACATCTAGGTGGAAGAATGACATCAAACTGGGAAAAGAGGCTGGAATAACATTCTGTATGTCAGACATTCTTCACTTAAGTGAACTATCCATCCCTCAGGGTCAGAAGAGGTCACAATGAACTTTGGTCATGTTCTGCATGTGCTCAGATCTCTGAACAACTGGCAACGTTAGGTTAGACAATTTATCCATGAGGACCTAGAACAGCCTTCTACTCCTTTTACATGACTGAGTTAATGATGAATTAACACAAGGAAACTGAAATAATCTCGTATGGTTGGTTCCAACCTCAGTTACCTAAACAGACATATGACAACAAAGTACTTATATAAGCAGTGCAAATATAAAAGCTCCATGACAGCGGAGAAACAAAACAAAACAAAAAAACAGAAAGAAAGAAAAAAAAAAGCAGCATGGATTTGCTCAGTGGTTGTTCACTATTTTGCCTTCTGGCAGATGAAAGAAGTTATCTTCTTTGAGTTTAAGATGTTCTGGTAAATCTAGCTGTCTTTTTGCTTCTTCAATGTCTCCCTGAATTGCTGAAATGAGTGCCTCTGAAAAATATAACAGGGATATTTAAAAGTTGGTTTGAATTCTGAACACGCAATAGCAAGTGAAAATAAGATGTACCACAGAATATCAGACAACAATCACAGAAGTAGAACATAATTATTACAACAATAGTTGAAATGTAAAATTCTTTTGGTTTAAAATGCTTTTTTTTTTTTAAAACATGCCAGAGTTCCATTTTTCACCATTACAAGCACTGCCCCCTCCTTGTTCCAAAAGATATTTTAGCAAGAGATCAAGAGAGTTCCATGAACTGTTTCAATTCTAAAAGAGGGGCATTTTAAAAATAAATTAACAGACTAGACTGATGCTTTTGCAATAACACTATGATTTTAAAAGTACTCCTTAGACAAGTGACACAACAATACAATTTTTTAGTGTAACACATTGGAAGATGTGGGGGTATGTTTTTGAGGTTTTTTTAGTTAAACCAACTTGTACATTTAGCTTATGAAAATATTTTACTGAAATTTCAAACGTTAACAGATAAAACATGTCATGATGGGAAGAGAGACAGCAAAGACACGGTACTTGCAAGAAGAAGATAAATAAGAGACTAGTTTGAGCGAGACCTCCAATACCGACCTAAGGAATCAAAGTTTTTTTCCGGTCGAATATATCCAACTATGACTATACTAAGAATTTCTCCATAAAAGTCTTCTTTGAAGGTGTGGATAATGTGCGTTTCCTAAAAGAAGAGAAATAAGTTGGCATTTATGATGAACTTTGAGTGTGTCTCCCTCCCTTGTAAGGATGTATAGCTAATATCTCTGATTCAAATTCTCCCCAAGACATAGCAGTAAAAGGGGTATTTAGTTTAGCATGTATAATGCCAGATTAAAAGGCGAGAGGTTTTGCTTATGTTAGGAAGGAGAACTGTACTTTGCACGGAATTTAAGACAAGTTACTCACTTAAAGAGTATTCTGATAGCCAAAAAAAAGGAAAAGAAAATCATTACTCAGGAGAAATGCTTCACCACCTCTCAGAGGTAACGTTTCCAAGGTAGCAAATCACAAAGCTTAATGTTTCCTTGTTAATATATCCAAATAACTACAAAGATTTCTATTGAAATAGCTGTTTTAAGGATGAGCTTTTGCAACAAGCTCACGTGGGAACTGAATGATAAAATCCAAGAAGGACTGAAGGTTGAGACAGTGTTCCATCTTATACTCAAAACTGTTCTATGCATATCTCCCTCTCCAACTTAGGCCCACCCATGGCATATGATCAGCAGAGATATCAGATCAAAAGCTTCTGACTATGACTACTTGCCCAGAAAAGTTATCTGCAAACATTTTATAAAGTATACTTTTGCCTTAGACAAGGCATCGCAGAGTCTTCAAACACTCAGAACCTTAGAAGCAGAGATTCATGCCCAAATAAAAGCGTTTTAAACAATTAAAACAGAGCTCTGCAAGACTCATGAAAAGCACCAGCACCTGACAGCAAGAAAGACACAGCTGTCACAGCTCAGGATTTTAACTCAACTCCTCCTTCCTATTATAATATACCTTTGAATATTTATTCTGTTTATCAAGCCACAGAACCTCAGGTATGGATTCCATAGTTTAAGAGAAGAATTAATAGAAAACCATTACAAATTAAGATGCTCCAACATCTCTTATTTGAAATGTAGACAGTTTGCAGAGAACAATAGATTAGTATGTTCCAGCTCATGCTAGGGCTCTCATGACCAGTAAATTCACTGCATTTATCAAGTTTATGTTTAATTGGCTATCAGCACCATAAACAACTACCATTTCAGAAATACTGTTAATTTTTTATTTTGAAAGTATTTAAGTTTTGGTGGAATTGAAAGAAGAACATAAACTTTATTCACTTACAGGTGCGTATTCTCTGGCTACTTAGAGTATTTCCTTTGAACACAAACAGATGACATAGGTGCCAAACACATTTCTAAAAACCAACAGAATTTCTAGATCTCATTTATGGATCAAATTCTCCTTATCTTATTCAAATTCAACGTCTGTCTCATTATAATAAAAATCCCCCACAAAACAAAAGTCTTACCACTGATTTCTTAATATTCTTATAGAAAGGATTCCATCCTATGCTCAAAACCATTTTATGCACATCTCCATTTCCAACACAGGCCCATCCATAGTATATACCAGTAGAGATATCAGATGGAAAGCTTTCAACTACTTGCTCAGAAAAGTTAGCTGCAAAAATTTTAGAAAGTGTAAAGCATGAGTGACTTTGTGTAAGTCAAGGACATAACAATCTTCATGCAAAAGCCAAACTCTGCCTACATAGTATTTACAAACATAACACTGATAATGAGAATGATGCAACATGCCATTTGGCAAAGTAAAAAATAAAAACCAGCTTCATAAATTTCTGTCCCTTTGGTAATACCAGAGTTATCACAACTCTTTCGCATACTATATTTTATGGTTAGACACTTTCTCTTCTATGGTAATAATTAACAAGAATGTAAGATATCCAGTCAGAAGACATTTCACTCTTAGGATAATTAGTACAGTTTTAATATGGTGAAAGATTAAAAATTTTTTTTTTTTTAAAATCAAGTTTTGTGCTGCAAAATACCATCTCAGAACTATTTACTTGTTACTTATGAAATGAAATATGTAGCCATAAATTAAATTATTGTTTAGTCACCTGTCAATTTTGTACAAGTTGCCTTTCAGAGGCATCTGTGGATTTCTGTGATTTTCTTTGAAAGCTACACATTTACAGTAAAGTAAATTATTCTCTGATGCCAATACACCATTTATACAAAGTCAAGAGAAAAATGTGAAATTATTAACAGATGTTGTCAGAAATCCAGCATCTCAAGACTGGTCTTACAATGCCTCCTTGTCTGCTAGGAGCGGTACAACATGACTCTTGACTTCACTGTTTGTTTAAGACCGGCCAAAATCCACCGATCTGTATTTAGAGAACTGAAACGGAGATGAGCAACAGGAAAATGTATTTCTTTGTAGGTCAAGTCCACCTGCTCCGTTTCTTAACCTCTGCATTATTCCCCTCGAACTTCCTTCCTCAGAGTTGCTCCCAGCGCCTGCTCCCTTCCTTGTTCTAGGGTGAGGCTTGTGCGAACGGGTGTTTTCCGAGCTGCCACACCGCAACACCGCGCATGTGACCGCTTAACTACATCCTGTACCTCGTCATGACGGTCATTAGGCCATTAAACGAATAAAAAATAAGACTGAAAGAAAACACGTAACAGCGTGAGGGGAAAGTTAACACAAAAGAGCACAAGACTCTACGCAATAAAGAACACACATTTTCCACAAAAACGCTAACGGGGATCAAACCAAGCCAGCCC